ATTCAGCCCATTTCTTCTAAAATCCAGGGTCAGAAAACAGGCTGTCACATCTGGAGGGTGACGGCCGGGCGCTGGCTTTTATCTCAGGTTGCAGCGAGGGTGGCGAGGAGCTATCTGGCGTGGGGTTTGCAGGGTGTGGGCGGCGAGGGGCTGCCCGCGGGTGATAGAGGGGGAGCTGGGCAGGGGGAGGGCGGCGGGGTCCCATCCAGCCGCTGTCAGGCCGATAGCCGGCTGTCGCGATGCGATGCTGCGGCCGGGGATGCTACACCCGCCCCAGGCGCAGCGCGGTCCAGCAGCAGAGCGTGCACCCTGCGGTGATGGAGACCCAGCACACACCTGGCCACAGCTGGAAAACCCCACCTGGGTCCTGCGCCCCCTCCTCGTTGTCCTTTCCCTCTGCACCCCGGGAAGTGCTGCACTGTGTCCCCCACTCGAGCTGTCCCATCTGGGTGTCCCCTCCAGCCCTGAGCTCACTTGGGCTCGTTTGGCAGCCCAGGGCAGAGGTTCTGGTGGGAAGCGACTGTCTGGACCCTCCTGCCGGGAGTCTGTGTCCTTCTTGTGCTGAGCAAACGAAAGCCCCAACGAGGGTGAGGGGTGAGAGCAAACCATCGGCTCAGTTATAGGCAGGAAAAACACTGCCTTAAATGAAACTGTCTTGGAGACAGATCATCATGAATAAAAAAGCTTCTTTCGCCTATTTCTAGATTGCTTTTGCCTGAGTTCTTGTGCTGAGAGATAACTCAGAAGCTGTTTAATTAAATTTTCAGTTTTTCGCCGAATATCCTGGCTCTTACACTTGACCACGTCCCCCTCATCCCTTCACCTCACTCAGCTCTGAACCCCCCCATAGCCTGTGGCACTGGACCGGCTTCAGGGCTGGGTATGTCCTGGTGAACCCCTTAACAGGGATACGGGGAGAGGGATGTATGAACACGGTCCTGCCATGCCCTGGAGCTCCTTCAGGCATTTCTCTTGCAACCAGCCCCCAACCTCCAGACACTGTCACCAAGACCCAAATTTCAGACCCAGGAGATTTCCTACAAAATCAAAGCGATACAGTAAAACGGTCTAAGTCAATTAAAAACAAGAGGCCCATGCTTGCCTTGAACTGTAAAGAAGTTCTTCCGTGTGTTGGAACGGAACTTCCTCTGTTCCAACTTGCACCCATTGCCCCTCGTCCTGTCACTGGGAACCACCGAGAAGAGTGTGGCTCCATCCTCCTTCAACCCACCCTTTAGATATTTGTAAGTAGTAATAAGGTCTCCCCTCAGCCTTCTCTTCTCCAGGCTAAAATGTCCCAGCTCTCTCAGCCTTTCTTCATAAGGGAGACGCTCCAATCCCTCAATCATCTTGGTTGCCCTTCGCTGGACTCTCTCCAGCAGTTCCCTGTCCCTCTTGAACTGGGGAGCCCAAAACTGGACACAGTATTCCAGTTGTGGCCTCACCAGTGCCGAGTAGAGGGGGAGAATGACCTCCCTCGACCTACTGGTCACACTCTTAATTTCACGCCATTATGTGGCATGAAATTCGGGTCAGAGCAGTCAGAGCAAGGGGTGCTCCACATCTCTTGGGGTCAGGCCTAAAGGCTGCAAAGGGTTAAACCCGGATCCTGAAATTAGAGATCCACGTTAGGGGCAGAGAGGCATTCATTTAACCTGCAGCTATATTTCCCCTTAGTTTATCGTTACGGCACAGAAACAATTTGAAATGTCTTTGTGTTGAAAGCAGAGTGCCTTGGGCGACGAGCCACAGCTAAATTAGATAACTCTCCTTGTGGTAATAACATCAAGCTCTCTGCCTGCTTGCTGCGAAACTCCAATCTGCTCCGAATCTCCACCGTGGTGCGCCCGTGCCTCTTCTGTTTGTGGTCTTTCCTGTTCTCCCTTTCCCTCCTAAGGAAAAAAAAAGCATTTTCAGAAATTTTCCTTGGCTTTCCTGTTCCGGCTAGTGGCCAAATGATCCCAGCCAGGGAAAGCTGTATAAATTACTGTGATTCAGACCAGCCTGCCGCTGCTCTGTGTTTCCCTGAATTCGTCAGTGGCCACATCCTGAATGGGTTTAGAGCAGCCGCTGAGCAGGTTTCCGTATGGTTTGTGAGCATTTGGTAAGGCTTTACTCTGGTCCTGAATTTGGGGTTCACCTGGACAGTAGCCTGAAGTCCCCTTTTGCCCCAAGCACCATTTCTGGAGCAACCCTTTACAGGGCGCCTGCGCTGACAGTGCTGTGGTGGGAAGTTGTCTCCGGGCTTCGAGTTAAATCAAGGCACCAGTGCTGGACTGGGCACAGCCAAAATGTCCAGTGGGGTAAGAGTAGGCTGAAGCTCATATATGAACTTACAGCCCAGGGCGGCTGTAAAAGATGATTGCTATTATGGACTCTCCGCCTCCAGGGGCGTACAAGTCTCCGATATGACCCTAACCCGATTAGCTGGCTGATTCACCTGCTATTATTCCCTTTCTATGAGTGCCCACCCTACGGGATTTAGGGAGTTTAAAGAATTACTGTGGGTATAAAAGAAGCCATTAAAAGGAATCAATACAACAAAGTAGCACCAAGTGATCTGGAATGACTTCAGCCTCTCTTCCTCCTCTCTTTTCCTCTGCCTCCCCCCTTCCCCTTTCCCTCTGCTCTTTGTGACCATCCGTCGTTAACCATCCTGTGAAGACATGAGCTTGTTCCTGCAATGGCACCAGCAAAATCCGACCCTGAATGGGCCCAAGTGTGGGACCAAGACCTGAGGTTTTTCACTACAAGCCGTGTCTCTGCCTGCTTTTCTGCAGAGTCCAGAGAAAAAACATTTTATTAACCACATTTTTTTAAATATTAATCCTGCAGCTAATACTCTTCTCCAAGCCCCTGTGTTTGATGTTGTCCTGCTTGTCCACGCTTCGCACTCCTCCTGCTCTCTGCCAGCCCTCCCTCAGCTTTTTCATGCTGCTGGTTCAAATGCAGAAGAAAAGCATCATTATCTTTTCTCTTTCAAAGTTCATCTCTGCAGAACTGAAAATGAGACTCCTATCACAGACAAGGCAAATGCACTGCTAATAATAGACCCAGATGTAGCTTGGATTTTATTTTCAATGTGGGTCTGCCAGGAAACGCGGACTCTGGGACGAGAGAAGTAATAACCGAAGAGGCCATGCTAGGTCGTTTATTGTCATCCCCCAGCTGCGCGTACAGCTGTTTTGGTCAGCTCTGTGCCCAGCTGTATGGGCTGGTTGGTTCACACGATGCGGATATCTGCCTGTGAATTTAGGGTTGCACATATTTGATTTCACTCTTTGAGTCCTGTCTCATTGACAATTGACAGCTTCTGAAGCTTTCAGATCTCCTCAAGAACCGAGGGCGTGTGACCGCGTGGCTGCTCTTTAGGTGAGGAACTAAAGCCGGTGCTGGCCACCTGCACGATACCTTTATCTGCGCCGAGCAGCCTCCGCTCCACATGGTGTTATCAGACCGCTCCGGCGGCTCACTTGCTGCTGAAAGGGGCCTGTGGGCCTTGTCTGGAATTCAGAAATTTAAAAAAATGAATAATGCTTCCTAGGACGCTGCGGCAAGGAGCTGAAAGGCGACTACAGACGCGAACCACCCCAGCTGGGTCGTAGTGACGGGCTTGTGCCACTGCTCGTTGTGGCTCCAACGGGATCAATAAACCAGTATCGATCTGTAACTGGAATGGGCCAGACGTCTGGATGAAACCTCCTGGGCTGCCTACAGACAGACCCAAAGTCCACAGTCTTGTCCAGATGCCCTAGACCTCATGCATCCTGTCTTTGCCTTTCTGAGCATGGGAGCACAGCTTCACCTGAAGGCTGAAAAACAGGAAAAACACCCACATAGTTCATCGGGAAGGTGACACCCAGAGTCAAACCTTTGGTCAGATCCTGAACTGGTGGGAATGGATGTTGCTGGTCTGGTTGTAACATGGTGGGTCCTGCTGTCCTTGTGCAAGACATTTAATGTCCAAACAGGGAATGACCGGTGAAGTGCCGGCCTTGTTAACACTGTACACACATTAAAGAGCAGAGGACCCTGGCCCCGGTCACAGCCTGCCCCAGCACTGGCATCCCACACAGGTATTCTGTGAAACCTGGAGCACAGCGAGGTCATCTCTTATTCATCAACACCAACCATGGCTGCATATCCATGGACCTCCAGCCCAGGGTTCAGGTGTGGAGGGACTGGACTGGTGGGCTGATGTTTTCCACACTTTCACCTGATGAAAGGTACCTGCTTAGGAGAATGGACAGGGGCTTCTCTGAAGGTCTGTGTGTCTGGAGCTGCAGACCTGTGGCCAAGAGCAACAGCACTCAGCATCCCCAAGAGTGTCCTCCCGTGCAGAAGTGCCCAAGTTCATAAACGAGGTCATTTACCCCATCAGAGAAATACCCCTCAAGTTTAGAGAGCCCGTAAGTCCTGCAGAGGACTCAAAGGTTGGGTGCTGCCGGCATGAAGCTGTTGTAAATCACCTTGCACATGGGTCAGTGCCTGCTGCAGGATGCAGGGCATGGGGTGGCATGGGCATGCCGGTGGTGAGCAGGCAACCACGGGGGGACAGAGGGGGAGATAAGCGGGTGTTGTGTCCTGAGCCAGCCTGTTAAGCAAGTCACGGGGCTTTTTCCTTGAAAACCACACCTCACTGCAGACTGACCATTCCCTGGACAGACCGACCCACCAGCAGCGCGGACCCCCACCCTGGCCCCAACCAATGGCCCCACAGTGCAGGACGGGGAGGAGCCGCTGGTGGGGGGTAAAA